GTATAATGTATGCTATACCAAATACGATTTATTTATTTATTTATTTATTTATTTATTTATTTCCATACGTCCAGTGGACGCGCTTGGTAGGTTATACAGAGTATATTCGAATAGAAATACTATCAGACGCTAAAAGGGCAGCAGTCGTCCTCAGTTGAGTCACAACAATTAATGATGGGTTAACGACTGACTTAACCAACTTGTAAAGGACAAAAACGAGAGAGGGGCCAGTTCAAAAGATTCCTTGAGTATTTTTTGAACTCTGGGTCATACACTAGGTTGATCAGTGAATTTGTGTACAGATTTGGAAGTAACAAAGAGCATTGCCATGAGCCATAAGGTTAGTGCCTCAAAGATAACCCTACTGCGAGGCCGCAGCCCTACTAGGGCGGGCGTAGAAACACCTCTTTGATCTAAATACGAACCCTAGGAGCTGGCTCGGGGCGCTTGTGAGGATAGCTAACCATGCGATGCCATAACTTGGGCTCATTTTGAGAATGGCTAATAGGTTGAGCGCAATCAACTTTTGCTTCAGCAGCTCTGGCAGCCGGAAGGGAATAATAAACAGTCAGAGCACAGTGCAAAAGAACTACAGATTGAAACCTTGCGGCTGCCCTCATTGTGAGAAAACGAGCATTTTGAGCCGGAAAACAAGCAATTTCTAGAACGGTCAGGTGTTACTAACACAACGTGCGGTAAAAAGTTAGGTGCTGAGCTCTCAAAACAGCGCAACCACACATAACAAAAGGCGCATTTTGTTTACACTGCATTCCCAATCAATGATCCTTATCAGGAGAAAAATTTCAAAACCCACTTGGCAAACTCGTGCCGATATCTCCAGTTACCGTTGAGCATCGAGTTATCCATCGGCATGAACTGTGGAAGCGCATCGATCATACCTTTCCGAGTTTCAGGCGACAAACACTGGAAGAAAAACGGAATATATGTAGGTAGAGCATAACGAAGGAAAATGGAAGCGAACCACAACTGATGTTCAAGAATGAACTGTAGAAGGTCGATAACGAAAACGCATCATGATCTCTTCCAGAAAGCGAAAACCAGAGACATCTAAGCATGAGAAAAAACTCACTCGATAGAATTCAAAGAGATGCTTCAGCAGACCAACGCGTACTTCGAACGCATCCTCCTACAAAATTATAGTTAAAATAGCAAAATATACGATACCGTTCCACAGTACACTATTTTTGCTTTGAGTAACAAAAAGTTTTATATATGGCATGACCTTTAGCGTAGGAATACAATAGGATCTTCAACTCTAGAAAGTTAATTATTTCTGGCTCCCAGACAACAATACCCTACTATCTGAAGTCAATTGAACTGCACTTATTTAAACGCACTTCGACAACCCTTCTACCACTTACCTGAACTAACCTAGGCATAATAAATGATCCATTCTGCCTAAAAGACTTGTAATTACTGTGTACTTTCTAATGACTTGAGAAAGCAATTGCTAAAAACACGGACCGCTGTCAGGCGGATCGAATCCGCTGCGGCCGATGGCTCTGAGCCCTTCATAGTCTTTGCCTGCCCTCATTCTCATCCAAGTTCATCCCACCTTATAAGAAAATAGTAGCACCTATAAACAGCTCAATTGTCGAGCGACTCAGGTACGACACATAATTCCGAAGTGAGGCTACAGAACGCATTCAAAGCTGCCGAAAAAATACTCATCAATTGTATAAACTAACTAATGCATTCACACAATCCCCGACACTTAGCAAAAAATGACAAGATACACAGTTAGCAACAAGTTGACGCCTACATTAGCCCAGTCGAAATCATGAGCTCATACTTTGAAATAAACCTCGACAAGTGCATACCATTATTGTAAACGCGGCAATGAATCTTTTTGATTTGAAGGATAAACATCGAGTAACACTGTAATACGGAAATGTGATCACGAACCTGTATGCGTGGAACACTGGAAGTAGATCATCGTCGGTATGTCGGGCACCGACTATGGCCGCCATTTCGTGGATGGAATTTGCTATCGAAACACGTACTTTGAGCTGTAACAATAAACAGAATTACAATTCTGAATGGCAACGATGGATTAGTGAATCACCTGATCGTCAGTTGCAAGTTTATTGTACGTGTCCCTCAACTGTGGCCAATTCGCTCTCCCAAGCGTGTATGCTACCGCAGGGAAGTTATGTGCACAGTGCCGGTTGATATCGGAATCCATCATTCCACCTGGCAAGACCATTCCCATGAAATTGTCTACCAACTCTTGAGGAACTATCTTCTAAAATAAACTTTATTGAGGAAGACGGAGGAAAGGAAACTTCACGACCAAGCGCTGACCTGTGTTTCGTCTTCCTCAAAAGACTCATCATTATCGTCCTCTCCTCTGCAGTCAGCAAACAATTCCGTCTCATCTCCTTGTCCACTAGTACTTCGCGAACTGTTACGAGTTTTTGGTGAGAGAGAGAAGAGCTCATCACCTTCTGAGCTCACACTATTTCGTGATCGACGGGGACTTGTAATTGGTGTTCCCGTTCGTTCTGGTGACACATAGAGGACGTCATATCGTCGTTCTAAGAACGATGGCGCAGTTGGAACAGATTTTGCGGAGCCAAATTCGACCAATTCATCGCTGGAATTGCAATTTCTATGGGACCGATCAAAGGCACACCGATGAGTGACGTACTTGTCTGCGAATCCTTCATACGAATCTGCCCAGTACGATACCGGAGTGAAATCTTCGTGCGCATTCGGTAAAGGCTGCAACACTAAGCATAGTAGGCAAACTGTTAAAACGAACAACACCAAAAAAGGGTAATTTATAAAATAGTCAGCTTGAAACTTGCTAACATACCTCTGCTGGTCTCGAGCCCTCACTTTCATCATTTCCGAAGCTATCGTCCAGATCTAATCGCAACGTAGTATCTAATAAGTCCATATCGTTTTCATCAAAGTTTTCGTCATCGTCGTCATCCAGCCCAACCCTGAAGCAACGCATTGTGGTGACGTTAACGACAGAGCAAACAAAATTAAAATCATTGCTAACAACTAAAACAGCACATTTAGCCGATAATTCGGTAAGTAAACGTTTAACAGGGTAACTGCCAGTAAACCATCTCTTTGTTGCCTATCTAGCTAGCTACCTCAGACCATAACTCAAAATTGCTGAAAGGTGAATGCAAGTTTGGTGCAGTTGCTGAACTCATTAGCCTACAAGTGGCAACATACAGGACAAGAGAATGACACTTCTTATGGTATCAGGCAGATCAACAACTTGCAGCACCTCTTCACCCACCCCGACTTAATTTCATAGCTGAGAAAAGTGCGAAGATTTCCTGGGAATCTGTGTGAGTAAGCCTAGATGATACCTATCCTATTTTTCAATGTATACAGGGGGGGGGCCAAAAAAAAGACATTTTGCCTCCACTTCCAGATGGATTTAAGCACATTTTACTCAACTCAGACCGAACGGTTCCAACTTATTATTAAAGAGTGCATTCCATTCTATAAGAAAATCTTCATAGTGGCCACGTACGTGGACGGCATCAGAAGAATTAGCCCTGGAAACATGGTGCACTGGTCGATCTCAATGGGGTCTTCGAAGGATCGTGTACCATAACGACCCTTACTGGAAAGCTAGTTCCGAGGGGATTTGCACAGTGGTAGCTAATGCCTCTAGAAAACTATCCAACATTAAATCGATTCACGAAATTGCGTAAGAGCTTCAGGCTGAAGCTCTTACGGTAGACCTCCTTGAGCCTGACGACGGTGACAGATGACGTCATATTCTGAAGACGGTGAGGGCAGTGAAGGAGAGCCTGCGTACACTTATAGAGGAACACTTAGGGAATACTCTGCTGAGGAACTCCCGTCAACGACAGCAATCTCTGCGAAGAAAAAAGAGCCGAAGTCCGACATAGGCAAAATGTCTTTTTTTTTGGCCCCCCCTGTATACCTTCTGAGGGACTTCAGCGCTTACAAAGACAAAAGACTGTCAGTTTCACACCAAACAGACTAGTTTTCCTACAATACTGCTTCACGCTGCCTTTGCGAGAGGCAAAAGGTGGGATATACGCTCGTCGTCGTCCGTAAAATCTGTTTTACAATATGACAACGGACAAGCTTCATAGCGGCAACAAGAATTATGGGAACCCGTTCGCAGGAATCAGTATTCTGGTGTTTGATTGGTTGTAATTGTAACAGGCCTCTAACTGGTTCATAAGACCTATTGAGCAGGGTGAGATTTGTTAGGAGAGATCCTTCCGTTTTTGCAGCGCGAAACTTTCTTCGTTGACAGTGGAAATCTCTAGTGTTCACCGCTATCTTGAGCGGACTGGGTTCTACAGTGAAAAAAAAGAGAAAGATCCGCTTTTGGATAGCGGAACACACTGATATTGGACACGGCACTCTCTACATTTTTGGTTGTTTTTATTGATAAGTTCGGGTACGAATCCTGGCTGGGGCTGAAAGTTTTGCCCACTACACAGAATTGTTGCGATACTCTCTACCACACCACATGATCCTGCATTTGGGCGCACAGGTGAAGGGAGTGGTTGTGGTAACCAACTTTTAACAGGGCATGTGAACAAATTAGTGCTGAGGTACGAGATAAACCTAACGCTGACTTTGTCACGGTAGCGACACCCTCCTCTGATGATACATCCATTTCGTACTTACGCATCCACTCCACAAGGACTTGACCTCGCAAATAGAAGTGAGCACAACGGAAGGAATGCAGAGAAAGGGAAAATTTCGCCGCTCCCGGCTACAACGTTGGCTTGTATATATTGTGTTAGGAAAAAAACTGACTTCGACAAATCATCCGACGAATTACACTTGGCTGCAATGCCGACACCTTCGCCTGAACTTGATGGTTCGCCCTCACTGAAAAAAGCCGCACTTTTGTATTACAACAATTTTCATTTTATAACAGCTGCTACAAAGCTCTTCTAATCCATAAACTAACATGACACTGGGTGGAGCGCTGTGTGTTGAGTTTTTCTTATGTCCAGCAGTCCACGTATCCAGCATATGTTGCAATCCATCGATAATTCTAGAAAATGAATGCTTTGCCAAGAATCAAGTTTTCGTGAGGTTCGGTAGGAAAAGATCTGATAATCGGGCATAGTTATGCAAGGAATCGTAATTAATCCAAAACTAATTAATATGTTCCATTTTTTAATTCAATTTGAATTCAAATTAATCTAGATTCAAATACTGTCCCTTGACTAAAACTTCTTTTACATCTTAACACCTTCAAAACAGCATGACACTATAGCGTATCACGCTTAGCATGACGCGTAAGGCGGCGGTGGGACGGCGTGGCACCCAGTGGAGCTGTAACTCTGTTACTAAATATCCCCACTAGCGGTACTTCGTTCATCTTTATATTTTTGAGGACATTTTCCAGGACATATTTGGACACTGCCGCTTACTCCAGGTTTCCTATATTTCCTGCCTGCTTTACAGCGTTCGCCAAATCGTGCCTGTCCACACTGGCAAAACGAAAAACGAGTGCTTTCGTCAAGGTACTGACAAAAAATACCTCACAATTTTAGCCTCACTAGACACTGTCCAGGAAACTT